GTGCTTCCTGTGTTTACCTCTCAATCTTTTGAATTCCTGCTTCGTATTAGGAAGATCTCGGTTTCCATTCTAGGCACAAGTCGATTATGGTCTATTGTGGTTTGATCTCCGATTGACTAAATCCTTCTGAAAGAAAATAATTTTTCACTAAGTGACTAAATGTCTAATTAAATAATTTATAGACTGCCTAATTAACCAGATTCTTGAAACTCGAAGTACCTAACAAACTTACTGATTAACTCCCTAATTTTAATGAACACATTAACTAATTTATTCAAAATAATTTTATTCTAAGTGTAAATTTTCAAAGAAACTTCCACACCAAAATTCTATAAAAATTTCTGTCCCCACCCGTTTTACAATTATATTTCCATCACATAGAAGTCCCTTCAAAATATTTGACCATCTAAACATATTCCACGATATTTCTATGATATTCAAATTAATTTCAGAAACTGCGTATTTCACAAGCAAACACGTAGCCTAGGCAAAGAACTGTCAAAGATGATATGACTTTATTTCAGTGCAGAGTGCTTAATTTCAAAACTTGTAATCACAGGAATGTTTTAGTACAAAATTAAATATCATAAAAAAATAATATCTAGCTACTTTTCATACCAGATACTATAATGAACCTAAGTCAACTTGTAGTTAGAAGATTTCCAAATTTTTGCTAGCTTGTCTTATTGATAAGGGTGTTATGAAGTTTTCCTGTTGTAACTCATTTTTGACGAATTCAAACAAGATAGGCTAAATGAGAAGTATTCACTAGCAACATGGAACTCGAGAAAGATCTGAGCATTTGCCTGAAGACAGAGGAAGACCAAAGGATAAGGCCGATATGACCTGTCGCAGGACAAAATGAAGAATGTTGCTATGCGTGGAATGAGGACAGAAATATTTAGGAAGTCTTAGTGGGGATGCATCTTGGATTGTTTCCACTCGCATTAAAACTGATCTTAAGGATATTGCTAGGATGTGAAGTGATTTCACCTGCCACAAGATTGCGAGCAGTGAAGAGATTTGAGGTATGCGAAGTTCTGTTACTCACCTGGACGCAATTAGTTGGCCACTGAATTGGACAGGAAGCAGTTTGTCAGGTATTTGGTTAATAAGTGCTTCAGGAATGTGCCTGCATATCGACTGCCTTCGAAAACAAGGAATTCCCCAAAGACATAAGCCTAACATTGTGTGGTTCACCAGTTGTAGACTGTTCAGGGAAAACACTCAGGGCGCCATAAAATTATTTACTTCGCAACCTGAGCCCTCTTTGAAGAGTCTCAACCCGAGAACCACTCGAAGGCCTGTGTTTTACTTTCCACACTGTCAGCTGATTCTCATCACAATGTCACTTCAACAAAGAACATCACGTTCTCAGCCCCCCATGAAGTGCAGGAGGGAGCATTAGTTCCTTTGATTAAAGTAGACGCTATAGCTTTCATCGTGAAGACAGATTTGTGCTTGTGCTTAATTAAGCACAGTATATGCTTTGTATTCTTTGGAGCTGAGGAGTCAGCTTCACTTTCCGGTCGCCTTATCCCCAGAAAAGAGCCCCCGGAATATATTGTATAGAGACCGGGTGGGTTACAAAACTGACGAAGAAAAATTATACCCTTGCCGGGAATCGAATAATAGTCGTTTAAACCGTAACCAGTCAGTGTAGGCCACAGCATGACCTATTCCAGCTCAATGAACTTTGCGAATCGAGGTTTTTCCTTGGGGTGAGCTGGGGGTTCAAGAACGTTAACCCCACATACGTCAAGGGTGTGCTGTATTTATAATTTCGCCTTCCCTCTTAACGTGTCTCTGGCTCTGAAGCAATGTCTGCTGTCCAACACGGCCTCTGTCTGGAAGGTACTGGCGTTCAACCTTGCCCTTTCAAATCCACCGTAATTATTAGGTTTACGTGCTGATGCACTGAACAGGTGCATCGTGACGTCACTGGGGCCAGGTGACTCGCTGCTATGACGTTCTTCATCTGGGCTTGTTAATAATAAGATACAGGCGGAAGGAAGGAGACGCTGGACTCAAGTCATTCATTATAATGGAGGACGCAAGGTGTACTGATGCGGTACCTACAGTTAGAGGCAAGGTGTACAATTCTGCTTTTGTTATATTTAGTGTTTTCAGTGAACATGACCGTCTGCTCACATATTTTATCTTCGAAATCATCTGAAAGAATTCGAAATAATTTTGCCTAAAGTTTCCAAGCCATAAGTCTGTTGAATTTCATTTTGGATCATTTCGGGCCATTATAATCGTTACCTTACATAACGGACAAGTTGAATTTTATGAAAATTCTCAATTACGTTATATGCCACACGGCATATAATATACATCTGTTAAAACCTGTAACTTTTAAATAAGGAATAAATTCTGAAACACGGAATGAAGACCCTTATTTATTGTAACATTACTAAATATTCCGTTTGGCACATAGACTGTTGTATGTTATGCTGTTTATCAAATTTGTTTACGTTTGATTTGTATGTGCAATAAATTAACACAAGTAGGCCGCGTGCGCAGACACGTGAGATCTCAAGAATCTGATTTTTGTGCGTTCCCCGAAAGAGATAATTTTTCATCTAATTATATATATAACAGAATAGAAAATGCTCAGTTGTTTTAGTCCCAATATTTAATAACATACTACACGCGGGATGCTCTATTCCATTAAGATATTCATGCTACCTTTATAATTTACATTTCTGTGATTTATATTATAAACCTTTACATTACTGTACGCTGCAGATAAACCGTTCCTTAATTGTAAATAAATTACTCAGAAATTAACTACTAACAATGCATTAGGATGAAGATGACTGCCTTCTGTAATGTAGAGCTGTGTAGTCTGGTAGGAGATTTCCGACGTTCCAGAGGTACTTGCTGCCTCCATTATCATAATTCTTTTATATATGAAGGTTCCGTGGTTTGAATACACTATATATTGAGCCAGATTAATTTAGTCGACACCCTCATTTTCTATTTCTTTAATGTATTTTATACGCCGAAATCGGCTAAATGGCGTGACCGTGAAGGATGACGACAGACGAACATGACTATGTTTTCACTTGTCCCACTGTTGTCGCTGATGGTGTAACGACCTGCTCACGGGAAGTAACTGTCATCCACTTTCATGTTTCCTAAACGCAGTCTTTGAATCAACCACCTCATCGTGCTATTAAGTAAGACTACAGTAGTTTTCAATTACACTACTTCAAATTTATTCTGAAAGGCTTTAAAGAGTCATTAAGAAACAGTATCGACACGTGTACGTTTTGTGTTGTGAGAGCCATTACTTCTATTTACAAGTTGTACGAAGGAGCAATAAATTAAGCTTTTATAAAGCATTGCAGCAAGTCGACGCGTTCCTGAAGTGTCTACTTCACGCTTTGTCGCTCAGGAAGACATCTAGAGGAAAGAACTGGAACTTTAGCTCTGCCGGGGAACAAGACTAGGACAGAGAAATTCTCATCCAGACTCTGGTTAAATCTTCATTCTTGATGATCGCAGAATCAGGATTAGCTGTGGTGTTCGAAAAACGTTTACAATTCCGCAAAGCGTTTTTTGAACGAACAGAACAGCTAAAAGCAATATTGAATTCTCTTATTGTCTTTGCCTGAAGACAATTTCAGCATAGTGCAACGCTAAAATTGATATCCTCTCCGTTAAAACTGTGTGTGTCATATTCAGGATTGAAATCGATCATGTAAGATGTTAGTAATTGTACCCGGATTTCTCATCACAGACAGCTGGATTGTGGACGGTTAGCTTTATACGTCTATCTCATGATTAATGCGCCCTACAAAAACCACTTCATTAGATAACTCTTTTAATTCGACTAGATTAGGTCTTTTTAATCAACGGATACATCCAAATAAGAGACATGATTTAATGACAGTTTTTTTCAGCTAAAAGGAAGTCGGCATTTAAAGATGTAAAGAAAACTGTAGGAACACCACGTAATTTGAGGATGAAATTCGTGGAGCGTTATTTGAACTCCTTCCATACTTTCGTCAGTGCGGTGCTCAGACGTAGCAACAGGTTTTTTTATCTGTCACATTTTCAGATATGTTTGCGTCCGATCGGTTAATTATTATTGTCCGAAGATTGCCAGCTGTCACAAAGTTTTGGGTTTGATTGGTTGACGGAATAGCACATCGACACCGTCTGCTACCTAAGATGCGTTTCATATACACGACCTTTCTTTAGTTGGTTCAGTCTGTCACCGGTAACCTGGAGACCGCAGTAGAGTTAAGTACCGAAACGTCGTTATATCGAATGTACTTCAGCCACTGGAAAACAACGTACATGGCATTCCTACAATTAATCATCCATTGTCACAGCCATTACATTATAGTTGGAGGCGTATTGACTTCTTGTAAGAAACTGAACAAGTGTGGCCAACCTGCCTGTGGTTGCTGATGAACATGCATCGTGTTTCAGCTGCTGCTGCCGCGCGGATGTCCGCTGGAAGTCAAGTTTGCAGGCCCCACTTCCACCACACAGCGCTGCACCCGTGGCTCTCAGACACGTCGAAGCCCATGGTGGGCCACGGGTCCGCCTGGTGCAGTCCCTTCGGCACTGGTTCCGGTGGTAGTAGCGGTACCGCCAACAATTCCACGGACGAGAAGCCTCCCTCCCTGTCTCCCGCCAGCACTTCCCACCATTCCGCTAGCGCCGCGGCACACCACCTCTTCAGCTTCCCACCTACACCCCCCAAGGACGCCACTCCTGACTCCGTGACCGCCGCCAGCACGGCTCTGACGAGCTCAGCTGCTGCGACGTCATCGGCGACCTCTGCCTCCGTGGATTATCAGAACGCGGCAG